GCCTTGCCTAACAACCATGGGAGTCAATTAACACTGGCAACTGGGACTGCAGGGATTGCCATCGCTAAGCAATGCGGTTGCATTTTACAACTACATTGCATAGTGACAGAAATTGTGGTCCAAATTGTCGTGAGGACTACCTGTAAAGGGGTTCCAGAACTTTTGATAAAGTTATATTTTGTTTTAACCCTGGTCAAACAAATCAGCTTTAAATTCCCCGCTTTTGCTTCTAACAGTCTTAGTCTTTGATCCGTTGAAGTGATGTTGTAGGTTTTGATCTTCCTTTCTTTCTCCCATCTCTGAAGTTGCTTCAAGGCTTTAGCAACCCTCTTTTGTAAATCTATCAAGAAGTTGTTGTCCAAGTCATTAACTTGCCTTGTCATTTGTATTTCCACTTTGGCTGCTGTCTCTATCTTATAATTCACAATTTCTTTGTTTTCTAGTAGATCTCATGAACTTGTTTCATCTCTTCATCCTGTAGGTCTTTCAAAGCATTTTCTTTGACAATTTTGCTTTCTTCTTTAGTAAATAATACATTCATATAAGTAAACATTATTTCTGCCATTGTACCTACAAGTCTTTGCCCCCATTCTTCAAAAGTATCTTGAAATTACTCAAATTTCACAGCATTGTCTGTCATTTTGTACAATCCAATGCTTACTCTTTAATTAAAAATGAGAGGCAGATTTCCTGCCTGGAGTCTTTAGTCCCCTCTAGTGTCTAATTTCTGAAATCATAAAGGCTCAAATCTCTATTGTTAGTTTGACGGACTAAGCAAAATGGTATTCCCATGAAAGTATTACTTATTAATTTATTCCCCCCCCCCAATCTTTTAGCAAAAGTTCTAAGGTTCCAAATTTTTCTGGCCCCTTTTATATCTTTCTTAAATTAAATTCCTATTTAGCTTTTTGCTGTTCGTTTCTAATTCTTAGTTCTTATACTTATTTTTTTCTTTCATTCAAGAATGAGGGTGAACTCGGAGGCGGAGCTGGCTTCCATGCTCACCTGGAAGCCCGGTCACATCCTGTCTTTTGATCTCTTTGCAGCAGCTGAGACCGGGAGGGGGGTGGCTATTACATCTAAAACCTCCTCTCTTGCTGCCCCTGCCCTCTGGAACAGCATCCCCCCACAGATACAAATGGCGCCCACTCTGCTAGGGTCCTGAAAAGCCCCTAAAACCTGGCTCTATTCCCAGGCCTGGGGTGAATGGGTTTATTGAAGTATTTGTAGAGCCCTTTTCCTATGTCTACGGTTTATTGTTTTGGTTGTTTTAGTCCAAGCTGCCTGTGTACGTGTGTTTAACTGTTTTAAATTGTTTTGTTGTTTCTGGATTTTTTAAGCTGCCCAAAGTCTAATAGAGTGGGCAGCTATAACAAATCGAACACATTAAATTAAATTAAAATGATTAGATTGTTTCCTTTCTTGAGCCAATTTTTATTCTTTTTCTCTCGAGGAGCCAGTGGGCGAGAACAGGAGAAGGACAAGAAACCAGTCCGAACAGTCACTCTGAAAGCGATAAAAGAGGCACTTGCCAATGAAATGGAACCAAAAAAGAATGAAAGAAATCCTTCCCAAAATGGGAAGAAGGCAAGCAACCCTTTCCAGGGTACTCAAGTTCAAGATTTATTTGCCCCACAAGACCCCAGAGGAAAACTACTGGGAACAAATTTAATGAAGAGCAGGACAATATTTGAAGATACATTAGATTTCAGTGAATGCGGCAGAGCCCTCCCTAAAGATCAACAGTCTGAATACAAGACAATTTTTAGTTTTTCTTTACATGAAAGACTTGACATGGAAAAAACCCGATATCAATGCATGGAATGTGGAAAAAGCTTCAGGTGGAGACCTGCTTTTACCGCCCATAAAAGGATCCACACGGGGGAGAAACCATATAAATGTATGCACTGTGGAAGAAACTTCTGTCAGATTGGATCCCTTATTTCCCATAAAAGAATCCACACGGGGGAGAAACCATACAAATGCATCCAATGTGAAAAGAGTTTCCGAGAATATGGGTCCCTCACTTCCCATAAAAGAATTCATACAGGGGAGAAGCCATATATATGCATGGAATGTGGAAAAGGTTTCAGCCAGAGCAGTTCCCTCACTTCCCATAAGAGAATCCACACAGGAGAGAAACCATATAACTGCATAGTGTGCGGAAAGAGCTTCAGTTTGAACAGTTCCCTTACATCCCATAAAAGGATCCATACAGGAGAGAAACCATATGGATGTATAAACTGTGGAAAGAGCTTCACAGATTCCAGTTCCCTTATTTCCCATAAAAGGATCCACACTGGGGAGAAAGCTTATAAATGTATGGACTGTGGAAAGAGCTTCAGTATGAAAAGTTCTCTTACTTCTCATAAAAGGATCCATTCAGGGGAGAAACCGTATCAGTGTGTGGAGTGTGGGAAGCGTTTCAGTCAGAACAGTTCCCTTACTTCTCATAAACGGATCCACTCAGGAGAGAAACCATATAAGTGCGTGGAGTGTGGGAAGAGCTTCAGTCGGAGCAGTGACCTATTTTCCCATAAAAGAATTCACATAGTCGAGAAACCGTATCAGTGCATGGAGTGTGGAAAGAGCTTTAAGTGGAGCAGTAATCTTACTTCCCATTCAAGGTTCCACACAGGGGAGAAACCCTATAAATGTCTGGAATGTGGAAAGACCTTTAGTATGAGCAGATCCCTTACTTGCCATAAAAGGTTACACACAGGGGAGAAACCATTTAGGTGCACAGAATGTGGAAAGAATTTTAGTGATTCAAGTTCGCTTACTTCCCATAAAAGAATTCATATAGTAGAAAAACCATATAAATGCATGGAGTGTGGAAAGGCCTTTAGGTGGAGCAGTAATCTTGCCTGCCATAAAAGGATCCACACGGGGGAGAAACCATATAAATGTGTAGAATGTGGAAAGAGCTTCAGGAGAAGTGGCAACCTTTCTTCCCATAGAAGGACCCACTCAAAAGAGAAACCATATAAATGCATGGAGTGTGGAAAGACCTTCAGTGAGAGCAGTTCTCTTTCATCTCATAAAAGAATCCATATAGTAGAGAAACCCTATAAATGCATGGAGTGTGGAAAGTGCTTCAGATGGAGCAGCAACCTTAGTTCTCATAGAAGGATCCATATGAGGGTGAATTCATATAAATGTATGGAATTTGCAAAGACCTTATCTCAAAGCAGTCATTTTACTTCACAACAGGTTGAGTGAATACGTTGTGTCATGTCAGTGGTGATTCTTAGGGACCCAAAAATAGATTTTCTCCATGACGATCTATCCCTAACCTGATCTTTCAGATCTTCTAACAATGCTTCCGTTGCTGTTGTCACCGAGTCCATCTACCTTGCTGCTGGTCATCCTCTTCTCTTCCACCTTTCCCAGCATTAGAGCCTTTTCCAGAGAGCTGGGTCTTCGCGTAATGTGTCCGAAGTAGGAATATTTGAACCTGGTCATTTGTGCTTTGAGTGAGAACTTTGGGTTGGCTTGTTTGATGATCCATTGGTTGGTTTTCTTGGCTGTCCACAGTATTCTCAGGAATCTTCTCCAACATCAAAGTTCAGAAATGTCAATTTCACATCAGAGAATAAACAGAAATGGAAGTTATTTCACTCCTAGGGGTGATTAATCTAGGATGAGAGCTGCATTTGAATACTAAGACCACAGTAGAAAAAAGAAGGGAAGAGACAGCAGAAGAAGCCATTGTGTTGTCTCTGAATTAGAAAAGGGTAGTGGGGGAACTCCACCTGCTACAGAAACAACTCCCAGAAACTCTTACTAGGATTGTGGAAATGGCGAAGCTGTCCAGTTTGGTCAGAGAAAAAAGAATGACAAAATCCTTTTTGAAAGACTAGAAATCTTATATGGACTTTTTGTTGAAAGAAGAAGTGATTGGATTGATGATTTATGGATTTGGGGTTAAAAAGGAAGGGGAAGGGAATTATAAAGTAAGAGGAATGGGAAAGAGTAACTGATCAAAAGAAAGGAAGGGCAGAAGTCATAATTCTATAATTTTCTTATTTTTCCTTTGATTTTTCATATTTTATTGTATTTAAAAAGAAGAATGAGAAACAGTGTTACTAGGATGAATTCTTTGGAGGTGATATCCAAGGACCTTCTCCAGTTCCTCGTGAGACAAGCCATGACACTTGCTCAGATGGGTGTTATTAGATGAAGCGCTGGATACTTAGGTACAGTTCTGTCTGGAGTTTATCAAGCTTGGCAGGCATAGATCTGAGCAATATTATTCACAGGTAATCCTTAACACAGGTCACAGTAGAGCTCCAATGGCATTCATGGGCTGGTTAGTGGACTGCATCATCTGCTTAATGGCCAGCCATGGTCCTGTGGTGGTATAAGTCTTGGACTAGAACCGGGGAGACCCAGGTTCAAATCCACTCTCAGCCATGGAATATCACACAGTGATTTTTGGCCAGTCACTCATTTCTTGGGCCAGCCTCACCAACGGCGATGTGGGAAAAACGGGAGTTGATAACTCTGTATAGCACCTTCAGCTCCTGAAGGAAAAATAGAACATAAATGTAACCAATGAACAAGCAGTGTCAGGCCGTCTAATTGTCAAATGAATCAAGGTGGTGTACCCCAATTTTTCCCTCCGTTTTGGTGGTTTCCTGATTGCCATGGCATAGCAATGCCCGCACACCTCATCTTGCACCCCTCTGCCTTTCAGCATGGACCATTACAGACGTGAGGGATAAGGAGGGAAATAGACAACTTTGCTCCTTTAGACTAGACAGGCAGGATGAAATGAGAAATGACAGGGAGAGAACAATATAATCCAGGCAGGAACCACAATGTTCCATGGAAGATTGGAGTCATACGTCTAATCTGGTCAGTGTTCCTCCAGAGTCAACAAGTTCTTTGCTAATATTGGTGATACTTCCCAATAGCACTGCTGTTCCTGACAATTACACTTACCAGTTGGATTTATTTCTCCTATGTTTCTAAAAACAGTAATGAATGAGAGATCCAGGAGTAACCAGCACTAGGATGCAAATTGTCTATAAAAATTCTTTGTTTTCTATTGTTCTCGGTTCCTCTTAAGAAAGCTGAAACCCAACAGTTGTACCAGTAAACTCCTCCTTGCTGGGGTTGAGTTGGAGCTGGTCTTTCCCCATCCAAACCCTCACAGCCTTCAGGCACTGGAGCATCTGAATGGCATTGCTGGCTTAGCTGGGATGGTTATTATCAGCATACTGATGATACTGTGTCCCATGCCACCAAATGACCTTGCCCAGCTGTTTCATGTAGATATTAAAAAGGAGCAGTGAGAGACCCAAACCCCAAGGCACCCAGCACAAGAGAGGCCTAGGGTTGCACCTCTCCTTTCTCAACTGACTGGAACTGGCAAAGCAACCCCCCCACTCCCAACTCCTGAAGCTAATCCAGAAGCATGCCATGGTTGATGGTATTGAAAGCCACTGAGAAATCAAAGAGGACCCTCAACCTGAGCCCTCCAGAAGACACCCACAAATGTAAGTAACACTGTCTTGATACCGTAACCCAGTCTAAAACCAGACTAAAAAAGGTCCATTAATTAATATGCTGCCCATTTCCTCCAGAGGGTGACCAAGGGCGGCTCACAACTAAAACATTAAAAACATTAAAAATATAAATTTTGATAATAAATTTGCTAAGAAATAATACTATATAAAAGACTATATACATAAAAAGACTAACATTCAAGATGATGAGAGGGCAAAATCAATTACCCCAAGAACCAAGTCCAGCAATGTGATCCCCCTGAGGCCTCCGGGCCATCTGGCATAGCCCAGATTTCACACACTTCCTGAAGGCCATGAGAGTAGGGGTGCACTGCACCTCAGGTGGTAAGTTGTTCCACAGGGTCGGGGGCACAGCAGAAAAGGCACTCTTCCTAAACCCTGCCAGCCGAAATTCCTTGACTGGTGGGGTCTGCAACATGTCCCTTCTGCTGGATTGAGTGGAGCGGGCTGATATAATGGGGGCAAGATGGCTCCTCAGATCACCTGGTCCCTCCCTCCCTCCCTCCCTCCCTTCCTTCCTTCCTTCCTTCCTTCCTTCCTTCCTTCCTTCCTTCCTTCCTTCC